TTCCCTTTATTAGGATGCGCCGTAGCATAATTCCAAATTCAATCATATTTGTCTGCGGAGCTCATTTCTCCACCGATCATCGAGCGAGAACTAGACAAAAGTGTACAATACCATTTGCAAAATTATTTAAACTGCCTCGTTAAAATTTAAGAATATGCTTTATTTAAAAGCATATTTAGCCAAAAATAATAACAAGTGAATTAATTTAACGTTCTACACATTTTTGTTTTAAGAAATTGCTTAAAATTTTCGTCTAGTACTGTACAGTTCTAGCCGACCTCCTAAGACCGCCCATCGAGAGCTCTGCTCGTTCAAGCTTGTTTCAACTATTTATGTCTTGCTCACGCCTAGTGTGTATTCTTTCTATCTTCGCACAGATTTCTTCAAGGTCACAATTCTAACAAATTGAAATAGACTGTATATGGATACGTAGCAACTATTTCAAGTTGTAGTAGAAACTGTGACACAAAATCTTAAGCATGAATATATATTAAAACTACAACATAAAGTATTTAGTGTTTTTCAAAGGAAAATTCATTTTATGTCAAAATAATTTCGTAGAGAGTGTTCCTTTGTAAGCTGTTGGAAGGTAATAGGCTTCACAGATTTAATGTGTTGATCATATCGGTTCGTAGTGTAACTGGTAGGTCGGACTTGAACATCTGGTGGTGTCCAATATAGGCTGCGGATTGTATGGTATTGTGAGCCGGCGTGTGATTCTCTTGCTTTTTAGGAGCCTGTCCAGATTTCCGCCGATGTATTCTCAATCGTTATCCGGTCATATTTTGGATGAGTGTGATGTAAATTGATGGTATTCTGATTCGAGTCTAAAGACCGTTGTGTGTTAGAGTTGCTTCCTAAAGTTTCGCTAGCACAGATGGCGAGCTTCTTCAGAGGTCTTTCCATCTCCGATGCTGGATGCGGACTGCAATTACCTACTGACCGCGAAAGCCTTTACCAATTAGTGAGTGCGATGTACTCCACCGTTGCGTCAAATACGTCCGTTTTGGATTTTAGAAAACGTATCTCGCACTATCATGCGGTATCGTCAATGTACGTAACAATGTATTTGGAACCACTCAACAACGTCTGTGTGGATGGTGTCTAGCAGTTTTGTTTTTCTCTCCGATTCTCGTAGAAATGGAGCTCTTCACATCTTTCCTTTTAAGCAAGTGTCACATTCCAGCTAGCTAGTCTTATCATCGAGTTGTAGGCCAATAATTTGTTTGTCACAGCGTCAGTTATGTCGAGTGTGTTTGCATGTCCCACGCTTCTGTGCAATATTTCGAGCAACACTGTCTTGTTCTTTTGCTGCACGGCGTAGGCGTTTTCGTTACCTTCGCGCACGAAATACAACTTTTCGACTCGATACGCGTACAATTCGATTTCACCTCATGTATTGTCGACTGTAGCGCCACGTTTTTCGAATATTACGTCGAAACTGGTGATTTGTGATTTTGCTCACCCATATGAGATTTGTGCGTAAGTCTGATATACGAGGGTGGATTGATAAGTTTCCGGCCTGACCAAGAAAAACAAGGTTTTTAAAAATTTTTTTTTTTTATTTCTCAACATAATCTCCTCCAAGGCTGATACATTTCTCATAGCGGTGTTCCAGTCTATTAATGCCATCTCTATAGACTGATTCGTCAAGCTCCTCA